TAAATGGGCCAAGTGTCTAAGAAATGAAACTTAGAAAACCTAATTGAAATCTATCCAGTAGTTTTTCTGTGATGCGCGCACAACTGCAAACCTCTATCATTTTATTTATATAGATAGTGTCAAAGCATTTAAGGCATTTAATTAGATTCTACGATGATCTGCTTGTTTTTATGTTCTGTTCTATCTGTATTGTTAAACCGCTAAACGGCAAATCATTATTTTTCTGTATTCTGAGGTTGCGACACGCGGACGTGAAATCAGTGCAAGTAATAGTTAATAAAGTAGTAATTGGCTCATTGTTTGTTTTTGGCACTGCCACGTATTTGTGCAAATTGCAACAATTGAAATTGTATGTCACTAACACTTGGCTTAGGGTTTGTTTATAATTTTATTAAGTAATATTTGCATTTAATAATCATGTTTTTTTTCTTCACTTTCATGTTCATTTTACTTCTAGAGAATGCCTTGTTGTGAATTAAGTCCGTCTATCAGTACATGATGTGCAAATGAAGCTTAAAGTTACAGCCCATATATGTCCCACTGCTGGGCACAGGCCTCCTCTCATTTCTCAGGTTTTAGTGTAAGGAAGTGCCCGCCGCGCTGCCCCAATACGTGTTGGCGAACTTCACGTCTGCGAAATAATTTTTGTTCTTATTTCTCAGACATACAGGTTTCCTCACGATGTTTTCCTTCACCGCCGAGCACGTGGTAAATTAGCATTTAAAATTGCAATTAACAATTTCATTGGCGCTGGCGGGGATCGGCATAACTAACACGCACTATTTATAACAGTTGTAAGAAACCAACATAAAATTCTATGAGAACTAGCGTCAAAGCTATGAAACGTCTTGTAATTACGATAGTTAAGCAGCCTGTCAAGCGTGGTAATTACGGTAAATCCATTCAACTATGGCGGAGGCACATGTCCAGAAGTGAGCTTTTACGGACTGACAAAAATGGTGAAATTATTCGATTCATGGGGTTCGCTACAAATTGTATTGCCGTAGACGTAGAAAATTTAAATGACAATATTTTGACGTTATATGAAGCAGAATGATGGCGAAAGCAACTATGAGGCTAAAGTAACTAACTAACTTTTTTCTCAATCTGATCGTTATTGTAAAACGTGTCATCATTGTAGCGTAGACCAATTAGTGTATTTTCACATAAAGTGTAGAAGGCACTTTTAAATCGCTAACTGTTGTACAGACAGACCATTTTTTGACAACCGCCATTTTGGAGCAACGTTTTGCGGCGTCGTCTGTTCGGTTTAGTGCTATAAAAAATATTTCACGATGTTTCCAGCAAAATTGCAAGTTCGTCTTAGTAAAAACATAAGACGTAAGTGCTTTTGATATATTTCGTTAAACGCTAGGTCTTATAATTAACATTTTATTGATATAGTTAATTATAAGACCTAGCGTTTTTTATTTTATTGATATGGGTGATTGCAACTATTTTTGCAGTTGCGTTCGCCCCATAGAATTTGTATGAAAATGCAAATCGCCAGTGATGTTCCGTGTCAATATTTTGATAAGTGAATTTCACTAACTTATTTGGATTAATGTTTATCTTCGACGTATTTTTTTTACGTTGCCATTCCATTTTATGAGTAATGAATTAATTATGTTTGTTAAAAGGAGAAAGCTTATACCCGAGAAACGCTTCTTGAAGCTGTACAATTAGTAAAGCTAAAAGAGTTAAAAAGTTATGCTGCTGCTGAGCGACTTAAAATTCCTCGATCAACAATCATATCTCATGTATACGCTACGCGCGGACAAAAACAGATAAACCCTGGTAAAGATACTGTATTTTCACGATCGTTTGAGCAAGAAATATCTTCCTATTTGACTACAATGGAAAAAACGGATTTCTTTTGAGAACCAAAGAAGTCAAGGAATTGGTGTCAGAATATGTTAAAAGGAACGATATAATTACGCCGTTTATAAAAGATGTGTATTTGTTATTATACCGTCCTTACAGATATTTTTATTAATTCATTAGAAAGGTTAAAACCTTTTCCTACTTCGACTGAGATAAAAAAATTGCAAGACTAATTATTATCTTAAGTACTTTAATGATATTTCACATAGACGTGCCATTATAAAATATAAATGCCAAATAACCAATAGTTATCTAGTTACAAAGTAAAAATATTAGTTCGTATAAAACGATTGTTTGGTTGAGACTGGTTTTTTACTTACTTAGATGTTTATGTTGTATATGTTTTTACTGTCCTTACAGATATTATTTAGTTTATTAGAAAAGTTTAAATACTTATTTACGTACTTACTACCATACTACTAGTTAACACCATTTCGTATGAAGATTTTTCAAATAAACATAATTACAAGATAAAAACAGGAATCGCTTTTTCTTTTTACGTAAATATCAGATTACTGCATTACTGTCATTGCGAATGTGTTTCCCGAAGATTTATCGATAAGTAATATGTACCTAACACAACACTAGTCAGTATGGAGTAGTCGCGTTCGCCCCAAAAAATTTAAAAATCGTTTTTTTTGGAAACTGAGCCCTGTTACTGGCGGCTAGATACCATTTTCGAATAGTTTTATGGTGAAACTACATATATTCTGATCTCTAACATCTAGTTATACATTACAACGGGGTATAATCACTAATAGTTGCATTAACCCCACGGTGGGGTGAATGTAACTTTTACCTCTCTTTTTGATTAAGAATGTAAATTATTAAAAAACTTGAAGCCTATTTGTAACGTATTTCATGTAGAAAATGTTCATTGGAAGGTGTGGAATTCAGTAAGTTTATTCAAGTAACCCTTCTTATTAAGTAGCTCATGGTGGAAGACAGTAATTTTAGTTTTTTTAGTTGCTTTCGCCCCGGGTGACATACAACAATTAGGTGTTGGGAGTAGAGGTGTTGGGAGTGGAGGTGTTGGGAGTAGAGGTGTTGGGAGTGGAGGTGTTAGGAGTGGTGTTAGGAGTAGTGGTGTTGGGAGTAGTGGTGTTGGGAGTAGTGGTGTTGGGAGTAGTGGTGTTGGAAGTAGTGGTGTTGGGAGTAGAGGTGTTGGGAGTAGAGGTGTTGGGAGTAGAGGTGTTGGGAGTGGAGGTGTTAGGAGTAGTGGTGTAGGGAGTAGTGGTGTTGGGAGTAGAAGTGTTGGGAGTAGAGGTGTTGGGAGTAGTGGTGTTGGGAGTAGTGGTGTTGGGAGTAGTGGTGTTGGAAGTAGTGGTGTTGGGAGTAGTGGTGTTGGGAGTAGTGTTGTTGAGAGTAGAGGTGTAGGGAGTAGAGGTGTTGGGAGTAGTGGTGTTGGGAGTATTGGTGTTGGGTGTAATGGTGTTCTGAGTATTGGTGTTGGGAGTAGTGATGTTGGGTGTAGTAGTGTTAGGAGTAGTGATATTGGGAGTAGTGGTGTTGGGAGTAGTGGAAGAAGTAACCCCCCTGCTTAGACCGGAGGTCGATAGTGCAGTCCGATTGCAAGTGCCAGGGATTGCCTTGTAGTCTGCGGTGAGTCGTGAAGAAGGCAAGTAATCTGCGAGAGTGCCGTGAAGCAGAGGCGAGCAGTAAGGCTCAGAGCCGTGCCGAACACTGTAGCGCAGAGAGTAGCTTGAAGGAACACGAAGTATTATTATTCCAATGCTGCGATGAACCTTTATAAAGCTAGATGGCTTGCAGAATGTGAAGACTGCAGACAATATCTGCTCGGGAGCGAATGTATGGGGTACTTGAGTACGATGACGAAGGTTTTGAAGTTGTAGTTTCCAAAGGTTGTTGGTTGCATGTTCAGATCACGTCGGAATCACCACTGTGGCCGTAGGAAGGAAAAGGGGAGATCTCCCGCCGTGCAAGGTGTTCTGCCCGGGGAACGGCTAACGCTCCGATTGGTATTTCGGAGCTATTCTATATATGCTGCTTTAACTTCGGAACTTTGTGAGTGCGATTTAGGCTTCGATGTGTTTCGCTTGTGGCGCGACGACAGCGCCGCCACAATTTTATTAATTATATTTTATATTCTATAGTTCCCTAAAGTTGGTGTTTAGTTTTTATTAAAAGTTTATTCTTTGCAGGAAAGATATTCTCTCTCTAAACAATCTACTCATTACGAAAAATTGCAGCAATTAAAGATATTCCTTGGAACATGTCGTTATAATATTTCAAACGACTGAAATTAATTACATAGGTACGTAATTTTTGCAAATGTGTATCAGTAACTGTGTACGAAGACAAAAATTACAAAGCATTCACTTCGTTTCATTCAGTTCGCAACAAATGTAAGATTTTCACGTAAATGAATTGCGTAAATAAGTTGCGTAGTAAATTAATTTGTTTCTTAAGTCTGACTAAGAGTTTGTTACTGCATTCTAATCCAACGATATCTGTAGTCGGTTCTCGTCGCATCGTTGTCAATATTTAAAAAGCCCCTGGAGAATGTCTCCTCATTAATTTCCAATTAAGCGCTTACGTAATTGATGTGTACTTCCCATATGATGACACTGGTTACGTAAGTAGGCACTATGTAAATTTGTTACTGTACTTGCAATCTGTTGTTTTAAATTTTTCTACATTTCTAAAATTGCGAAAGCACGCGTTATGCGATTGGAACAGCGATTTTTTTTATTTCTTTATTTCTGTTCGATTTCGACCACGACGATTCGTTATTTTCTAATTATTCTATCAGGTTTTAGGAGGTGAATAAACGTTTTGAAACTATTTAAGATCGAAAATAGATTTTAACAACGTAACATAAAAACGAGATTTAAATTTTTTTGTAAAGCTGATGGCTTTCTATCGAATCCATATCCACGCTTCGAGTCAAATACGAAGCACTCTGAAGCCTGAAACACACAGATGGCATCATACAGCAAATAGTCGTTATATAGTCGACAAGGGATTGTTTTGAATGTTTTTTATCAGAAAAATATTTCGCAAAATAAGTTTCGCGTGCAGTTGAAAGGTAATGAATACATTTTAAATAATAACAAATAGTAATGAATATTATATAAATAATTTAATGAGAACAATCATCCGAGTGTAATCATATTATCTGTAGTTTCTGCATACAGTTGGTGAACACCTGTAGTTGACGCTGGTACCAAATGGTGAGGGCCGATGATGCAGAATTGAAAGGAACAGTTTGAGTCTAAAGTAGCACCAGTATAGACTATGCAATCTTGCAGTACACATCTGTAAAAAATATAAATAATATCTATAATAGTACTATCTACCCACATTATTATAAAAATGACAAAGATATTTCTTCCACCAAACGGCCAGCTGGCGTGGTTTGGGTTACTTCGTTGAGTCACGTCCAGTGTGGTCTCCCATATAACATGGATACATGGCATAGACTCCATGCAATTCTAACGTCTTGAAAACAAGCACGCATTTCTTGGTTTACTATCATTGTATTAAATATTATTGCATAGGGAGTATTTATACTCATTATACTTAAAGTGGTTCCAAAATTGTCGTGTGACTCAGGAATATATAAATCATTATTGGTCGGCTGTAGCTGGAACGGTAGTAAATTTTACTAGCAAGAATTAATAGTTTAGTCGTTAAGAATTGCGCGAACTACAAGAAAATCACAGCACCAGCACCAAAAATATGTTATTAAATAAACTTGCTGACATTATTTAAAAAACATCGATATTTAGCAAAAGGCGGCTGTACGATATAAATTTGTAGCGGCGCACATTTCATGCATTGCATGCCTGTCACGCGGGCTTCATATGGTTGTAGCCGATGCAGTGAAACGATTTGATTATAGTGTGGTTTTAATAATTTGATAAAATCAAAAATAAAATATGTTTTATATACTAATAAGGAAATCTATACGTACAGTGAAAAAGTTTTTATTTGGAGATTTTATTTTCAGTGACATGAAGCGCAGTCATGTCATTGGGTAGGAAAGTGGTAAACCATATTTTAAAGCAAATAATAGCTTTGTGTTTGTCCACAGACTCCAAACAATATTTTTAAGTTTATAATATTATATTGTATACACATATTTCAAGCAATAATGTAAATCTCACAGTTTTATTATTCATTTAAAAAATAAATAATGCATCAAGCATTGTACCTATTCATTCACCCAAAAATATTTGAAATTAATATTGCTTATGATTTTATTGTTACTTTGAATATCTACATTACTGCAATAAATACTACTTCTGGAAAATAGAAGTTTTGTTTTCTGTTTTTGCAACGTTGGTTATGATTTTACATGGTTATGTCTTTTAGACAGCCCAGGCCGATCACACCGGTTACATCGTAGTTAAAAGTAGCTCTAATAGATGGCGCTAGTTTTTCTTATACGGAAAACGCATTAGGCAAACGTTCGGAAAACTGTATCTTTATTTTTAAATCAATGCATATTATTTAACAATTGGAATATTTTGAAGCCTTCCCAAATTATTTTGAAGATAAAAATAAAAATGGTCAATTATTTTTAGATTTCAATTTTAAAGGATGCTTGCCTTATTAAAAATAAATGTAAAATATATGCATACCCTTCCTTAATAGAAACATTATTCATCAATATACAATTGGTCAACCTCACTTTGTTCTCAATGGTACAATTAGCACCAATAAAAGTATTTTTTATTGAGGTTTTTTCACTTATTACACTCTTTTCTCCAACTGTACTAGTTTCATCTATTTGTTTTGTTTTTACTTCACTGTTTGGATGCAATCTGTCAGTTAGAGGTGTTCCTGTAAGTTCTTCCCATTTTGCCATTATCTGCAATTAAAAAAAATTATTTAGTAAGATTTACTAAAATGTTTTAAATTTGTCTTAAAAATTAAACAATAATTTATAATTATTTGTAACAAGGATTGAAAACGGGTTTAAAATTTCAGTACTATTCTTTTTATGTTAAAAATAAAGGGTCCACGTTTATGTATGGCTCTAGTTACAATCAAGGTTTCGGTTTTATGAAAGTGTTCATAATGATGATATTTGGTAACCTAAAATAAGACATTAATATGTATAAAATTACCTTACTTTGTGAAAAAAAAATCTTTTGATATTTGAAGGATTATGATTGAAGGCATTTTACATAAATATATTACACATAAATGTCTGGTCTCGGAACAATTATTTGCAGGTCATACAAATATTTTTTTATCCCAGTCTACGGCTCCATAGGGCAAACCCTTAGCCACAGTGCTACTGAGCATTTAAAGCTGTTGTTAATTGTTATAATCTCTGTATTAATACCAATTATACAATAAAACAAAAACAAATTTGAAACATTAAAATGAGACTAAACGTGATTCCTATCAGAAACAATGGCACTGACAATTTCGATTAAAGGGAATTAATCTTACACCATTACGATCTGATGTTGGTTAGACCATCATAGTAAAGATGTAAAATATATAGGAATCATACGAAATTTTAGGATTAGGAGTTATTTCTCTATATCGATAACTTAAACAGTAAAGTTTGAATTATATTTAACACGAGCTGCTCACATATTATATTATCATTAACCTACTTACCAAGCAGGGTGATTATAGAAAAAACCCTTATCATGAGGCTTATTTTCTAGGTTGGATCAGGGTTGTCTGGTTAAGAATGTTGTGAGCACATTACAACTATTAGTGGTGCTTATCAAAATATGTTGAACATCTTTAAATATTCCGCATTTGTTGCAATTTGGTAATGGCACTTTTTTCATTAAAAAAGCAAACTAAACAAGAACTTCCAAACAAGAGTGTATTAAGCAGTAAGTCCTGCCAGAGATGTGATAAGGGTGTAAAATTATAGATATAAGTTACGAAGAGGAGGACTCCTCTATAAGAGGAGTTTCTCTGCTTGTGAGTATATCCACAGTAGAACCAGAGTAAGGGACATAACCCATGAGATTAGTAAGCTAAAGCAATCATGGGCCGGCTATATGGCACAAGAAGCCAACAACCGATGGGAAGAAAGGTTCTCATGCGGTAGTCTTGAACTGGCAAGTATAGGACAACCTACCAATAGATAGAGTGACACCCTGGTAAAAGATGCAGGAAGTTGTCGATGGTTGCAGGTGACTCTGGGTCATGCTTTTGTGGCATTCCTTGGAGAGGCCTATATTCCATAGATAACTTGTGATAGGCTGTAAGGATGATGATGATGTACAATATGACATTACATTTAAACTCACAGGGTATAAGTTTGTGTTTCACATAAATATTTGTTTTAGTTGATTAACCAGTTCAATTTTTAACAAAAGAATCCATCAGAGGATATCAGATATAGTTATTTCTTACTAATGGTGCACAGGTTTGTCGATAGTACCAAGTTTGTAGACAAGCACAAGGCATGGAAAGATGATCATGGGCAAAATTAATGCAGATAACATACTTTTCAATTGATATTCTTATTGTTGCGTTTTTTTTAAATTTCATTTTATTATATATTGTATTTATGTGTAGTCTTTGTCTTCTTTTTATGCTTAATAATATTTTACATATTGCTTTTTTGTATTTAGGTAAGCCTACACTGGGCAGGTCATGAAAAACCCTAGGTATAAAAAATATGTACATGTATTTCATATTAATCTGTTCAATATGAAATTGATTCTTACCTTTTTATTTGATAAACAGAATGATGACAGTGTATTAACCCGTATTCCAAATATACCTTTATTTGGTATATGAGCATAACACCTAAGAATGTCATTACAATATACATCTTTGCTTCCAAGTGTATGATCATTGTATGCTGACATTTTTCTTATTTTATTTTCATACCCCTGATCCACAGCATAATAAAAGATGTCTTTAAACAGTTCAACATTCTTTTCTGAAGTACCTTTTTTCTCAGCAGGATTTTTAGGTTTAGAAAGCTGTTTCTTTACAACATGTGGTATAAGTTCTCCTTTAATTGAAGTAAATCTATCTACATCAATGAGGTAATTTACAATCCATTTCTTCATTACATAAACATGTGCATCTAGTAATCTGCTATACATGTTTACAGATTCAAACTTTTTTATTAATAATCTTGGTAATATTACATTCCCTTCAAAATCACTAGCACTAGCTAGAAAAACAAGTCTTTGAGTTTCTTCATCCACACAAACAAGGTCCCTATCAGGTTTAGCTTTGCTAGGGAGACCAGGCAGTTCTAACCACTCCTCAGGACCATTGTTAAAAAACAATGTAGCAAGTGCAGCATCATGCTTACGGTACAAATTTAGTACCTCATTAAGATTAATATTCGTAATTAGATCTCCTGACACAACTACTAAGTCGGTAGTTACACGGTTGCTTAAGTTTTTAAGTGAATTTGCTGTACCCCAGTCTTCATCTGAAGGAATAACTATCAATTCATATTTTATTTTTAAAGGGCATTTTTCTAAAGCATTTAAGATGTTTGACTTGTCGTCGTCCAATACTACTACCATGGCTTCTGTAAAAATCATACACATTTTACAAAATCATATAAGTAAGAGTTTAATTACTAACTAATATTAGTAACTAATTTCACATAAAGATTTCTGAATAATTGTTTTTTTTTTCCACAATATCACATATATAAGTGAGAACAAAGGCACTGACTTCTTCTTACTACTCATAGTAATAAAATTAGCATAACCATATTTATATTTTATGCCAATTATAAGTAAAGACGTAGAGGTAAGTCTGTGGTAGCTCAGAGACTTAGTGCTTGCTATAAATTTCACAGTATTCAAGCAAGTTGGGTTCAATCCTCCACAGCACCAGTGAAATTGTTAATTGCAATTTTAAGTACTGATTTACCATGTGCTCGGCTGTGAAGTAAAACATTGTGAGGAAACCTGTACATCTGAAAAATAAGAAAAGAAATTTCAAAGATATGTGAAGTTTGCCAACAAGCATTGGGGCAGCGCAGAGGACATTTCTTTGCCCAAAAACCCTCACATAAATAAGTGAAGGCCTATGCCCAGCAGTGGGTCGTATATAGGATGTAACTTTAACTTATATAAGTAAAGACACGAGAAAATTAAATCAATTACTTTTCCAAAAAGTACAAAATATATCGTTTACCTTGAAAACCAACTTTTTCTAGCATATTTAATGAATACCATAACACGGGATATGGTCCCACAGGTAAAAGACATTTTGAAACTGATCCACCGACATCTGGCAACCGAGAACCTCTTCCGCCAGCTAAAACTACTGCTTGAAATTCTAATATTTTATGCATTTCTACTTAAAACCAATATGAAACTTAACCTCGTTTATTAATGAAAAACGAGAGTATTATTTTAAAATAAGCTTATTTATTTTTGTTAAAAAAGTAAACGTAGAATAAGTTTCTGTAAAAGTCTACTTATATCTTCATAATTTTATCCAGTTCAATATAATATCAATGTTTCTATTCTGTATCAGATTTTTTTCTCATTGATTTAGAATTTAGATTGACAGCTCAGATTGACAGTCGACAGGTCGACACTCTCTATGGTCGACACATAGTCAGTCGTTCGCCTTGAGCTTATTCTATGCTCGAATGTCATTCGTCTGTCAATTTCAGTTACAATCGTAAAAGAGTAGAGAGAAAATAAGCTACACTCCCTCTACGCGTAAAAGCGTGAAACTTTACCATAGATTTTTTTTACTTATTATAAACCAGTGCTTGACCACAATCCCACCTGCCCGGCTAGCATGGGCGGGGGACAAAAATTTTATCCCCCGATTATATCCACTGACAAGAGATAAAATTATCTTCTTATGTCAAACGGGGAGAAGTATATCCCCGTTTGACATAACGAGTAGATATATATCCCCCGTCCGTAGCATGGAGCCAAATGAAAGATAAAAAATTATGTTTTTTTTCACATTTGAAAGTGACAATTTTATCCTATTTCATTGGACGTGGGTTGAAGTTTATATTCATAAAAAAATCTATCTCAGTCTAAGTCTATCTCCCAATTTATCTACTGTGGATATTATATCCACCGGTGTGCCCATGCTCTAAGGGTGAATAAAACTAAGCGAGGGGATAAACATTTTCTCCTTTCCCCTGGGATAAAATGGTCTACTGCCCATGCTAGCCCTGCTGGTGGTAGAAAATAAAATAAAGTAAATAAAATACGTAGCAAGCTAAACTATACTCCATCAAATCTAAGAAATACCTTTTGATAGCTGTCACATTTATTGGACTAAAACCATAGATATAAGAAAAATAGGGGATATGGCAAAATATGGCGACGTCTCCACCCACAAGAAATAGCGTTGTTTCTGTCGATATTTTTTATATATTAAATAAACAAATATTAGATCACTACGGACACACACTGCATTGGGTTAATCCTGTAATAATAGTTGTATTGAGCACTCCATCAGTGCGTCCCTGGGTCTATGCGTGCATTTTTTTCTCCTCTGCAGATATTAACGAAACCACCACTATAGGCAATGTATCAGGCTTCGTATGATTTTTTTGTCCAGCCCATGCTGTCCCACTACTAGGCAGAAGTCTCCCCTAAGTTTTTCCCAGTGGTTTTGTCCTGCACCTCATCGAACCAGACCCAACGGTATGCGTCCAGGTTGTGTGAATTATATTATATATATAGACTTTATAGCGGCTGGGAAGTTAGTTGCGAGCGCAAGTCCTGTACCTTCACGCTTCGCTTTATGTACGTTGATCTGAAACACTATCAAGTTTTCTTTCAACTATATCTGCACGGACTAGCGCTCGCTCTTAACTTCCAAGCCGCCATAAAGATTCGACAACACTTTTCTTTCGTGGTAATGGTCGGTTAACCAGTTCAAGTCACCATGAACGTGCAGTAGACTGACCTTTTTATCTTGATTTATTTAAAGTTTGTGGAGCATGTGTTCTTTCATACATAGTTACTAGCCGTCATCTCTTTTTTGATAATAAAGATTATTTATTTATTTATCTCAGTAATCTTATCGAGTTGAGCAGCCCCTTTCTAACCATACCACCGTTCACACAATCCATTAATCATTTAACTATCCCAACGCATTCCTCAATTTTCAGCATCGCATGTTCATACCATATGACAACCAATTTCCATGCAACATTTCGATTAATAAGGGTGGCTGCGCCACTTCAGCCTTACATTTCTATACTCATTTCTCATTATATCCCATTTGTGTAACACCACAAAATATCAATTTTAAAGTGTTTACAACCTGCAAGTTGTAATGACTTCCACCAGTAGCGTAATTAGTGGTGGATACTGGAGGTAAACGAGAGTAAGGATTAAAAATAAATAAAATAACAATAATGTATACTGATTAAAATAATTTATTCGAGACGAAATAATATTATTTAGTTAGAAAATTTATTTTAGACACATGAACCAAATCACCCTTAAGCCGAACTACATCCAGCGTTCTGTTTATAAATTCTTTTTCAAAATGCAAGGAGCATATTCTTCTTACTACTGCAGGTTTTATGTTTTCCTGGCCTATATTTTCAGTCCACAGTTTTTGAAGGCCTTCATTTTTTGGCAACCTAAAATAAATATTATGCATCCTTAAGTACCAATCAAAAATAATCTTAACATTATCAAATCTTTTGATGAAAAAAACTATTATAGAAAATTTACGATTTACACTACTTTCAAGTTCTTTTCTTAAATGAAAGGCTCTCAATCGATCGTTTGATTAAATGTACAGTTTATTTATCTAAAACGTTATTTGATTATAGGACTAAAATAAAATTGTTAAACAGGCTTAGAAAGGCTAGAACCCAGAGCAGTAAAGCCAGTTTATTAAAAAATATTATTAAAACTTATATCGATAATTTCAAAACATGACAGCACGTAAGGACAACACTATGTAAAAATGTAAACAATCAAAATGTTTACTTGTTTAAATTTACATGATAATAGTCATTGGAAATTCTAGATAATAGCGGGAAACACGATTTAGAACCCATAACATGAACACAAAACGCAATTCACACGAAAAAATATACAATTATGGAAAAAAATTACAACTAACCAGAAAAATGACAATCCTTCTTTCATTTTTACGAGAATTTGAATTACATCCATTGATACAACACTTTGTCATGTTGTTTTTGCTCAATTACCCTTTAGTAATGAACAAAAAAGCTTCCGAACAAGGCTTAGATGACAGACGAACTACCACAAATGAACGTCATCCTAAAAAAAATGGCGTCATGCTTCAAGGTGGAGCTTAGTGAAATTATGAAAACTGTCAACAGAAAATTGAAGTCTAAGATATGTACTTATCTTTTTTTACATTTGAAAATCATAACGTGTGAGAATGAGACAGATATATTTTTGTTGGCAAGGTTCATGTTTGCATGATATTTGTATAACCAAAAAATATATATGCAATTTACTGCTTATCCTCTATTTTTCTTATATCGATGACTAAAACGTAGTGGTTATATTCTTTTTAGACTAGGCCATAAACTTCGTTATGATAATAGAGTAATAGACGGTAGGCCATAAACATCGTTATGATAATAATCTAATAGACTAATAGACGGCCATAGTGTGCAAGGGAGAAGAAAATTACTTACGCAAGGAATGAACTCCTAGGTATTTTGGATTTTTTTGAGTACAATAGTGGTTATTTTTAGTAAGTATAGTTTTCTACACTGGTTACTTGTTCTGTGAGTGACTGCGGTGTCAATAATAGAAAGAAACCTGATAATTGCACTTTTACAGGTAAATTCTCAAGACGTCCTCACTACACTATTTAAAATATAGAATATGTTATATAAAATACAATAAACGTAGTCCGTGACGTCAACTGAACAACTTAACGCTTGTGCTCTCGCAAAAAATATGCCCTGGTTCTTCGCGTATCGTGGACGATGAAGTTTTAGTCTATATTTTACGTCGAGAAATACATCAGTCTGTGACGGATGCTGTCGAATCAGCGGTCAAAACGTACTTTTTCAAGGAGTTCGATGAAATTAGAGCGAATTGGCTATTTTAGGAGAAATCGATTAGAGTGTAGAATTTCTTAGATCTCAATATGACTGGGTGAATTCCGACATACGTAGGTCACTCAATAAGTTTTAAGATATACAAAAAGTATTCTAGATACTATTAATATTTATTTTACATCTTTTCAAAATATTCTCCATCATACTCTATACAAAGTTCCATTCGCCTAAACCAACTCTGAAAACACTTTTGCCAATCTTAATCTGACAGGCCGGAAATCGCTTCTTCATAGGCAGCCACGGCTTCTTCGGCGCTTGAAAAAAAACTTGCCTTTTATTTTTTCTTTGACTCTTTGAAACAAAAAGAAATCACAAGGAGCTAAGTCAGGGCTGTAGGGTGGGTGACTTAGAGTTTCAACACCAGATTCCTCAATAAATGCTTTTGTTTTAAGGGAGGTATGTGAAGAGGCGTTATCGTGATGCAGTATGTTTTTATTTTTAATTTATTAGGATCAACAAACAGTTTACACAATATTTCTTAATTTCGAATACATTTACTACAAAAAATATAATATAATAGTGCAACCAACAACGTTGACCACCAATTACTATTAATAAAAGCTGAGATTGAGATTAGCGTATTTTTCATCTGATACAATGTTTGTGTCTTCAACTAATAAAATGATGAAAAATAATTATTATTCCAATAACCAATTACACAAACTCATTCTCCTCTGAGTACTGAAAGTAACTCCTTTTTATAAATACCTACCTTATGAGCAAAAATATCAATGTTATTGAAATTATTATTATAACAATTTACCAACAAATACATAGGGGATCTTTTACCAATGTTGGTTCGACATTTATTAGTAAAAAATGTGTTTGGTATGAAAATTCTGAAGGTGTTTCTAGGCTGCTTTTGCAATTTGATACATATTTCCAGAAATATTTAATATCCATATCTATACATATAATAAAAATGTAAATAGTCGATGTCTGTACATTTTAGATTTATATAATAAAAGTGATTGAGTGGTACTAAAAATAAGTAATTAAATACATTTCTACCATTTTTAGAATTTTCTGTCTGTCTGTCTGTCTGTCTGTTTGTTTGTTAACGTATCACGTATAAAGTACCAATTTATATCAGAAGAATCGTTAAAGAATTTATAAAGTGTATCTTCAGGTTACATTTAGTCTTTATTTCATTAAAATTAGTTCATTCCATCAAAAGTTATGATAAATATTCTGAAGTATGGCTACGAAGTATAGGTACGAATTTGTTCAATGGTGGCGTTTGTTGAGTC